TCCCTTCCCTTCCCTTCCCTTCCCTTCCCTTCCCTTCCCTTCCTAAAAACTTTTGAGGTCTTCCCATTGCTTATGACAAAAAATTCAAAAGTCCTAATTTGGTAGACCAACTCCGGCTCTAGCCTACTTTTCTAGTCTCTGCTTTTCCTCCTACACATGAAGTGTGTTCTCATTGAATCAACTTCCCCTTCTTAAAACATGCTGTTCATCTCCATATCTCCATGTGAACACTTGTTCTCTTCTCTCTGGCTTGAATTTTTTTAAATTTAATTTTTTAAAAGTTCCAGTATACATACAATTAACATATGGTGTTGTATTAGTTTCAGGTGTCCAATAGAGTGATTCATCAATTCCGTACATTACTCAGTGCTCATCATGAGTAATCCCCATCACCTATTTCATCCACTGCCCCTCTGGTAACCATCAGTTTGTTCTCTATATAGTTAAGAGTCTTTTTTTTTTTTTTTTGGTCTCCTTTTTTCTTTATTTGTTTTGTTTCTTAAATTCCACATATGAGTGAAATCATATGGTATTTGTTTTTCTCTGGCTTATTTCACTTGGCATAATACTCTCTAGCTCCATCCAAGTTGTTGCAAATGGCAAGATTTCACTCTTTTTTATGGCTGAATGATATTCCATGGTATATATGTGCATATATACATACCACATCTTCTTTATCCATTCATCAGTTAGTGGACACTTGGGCTGTCTCCATAATTTGGCTATTGTAAATAATACTGCAACAAACGTTAAGGGTGCATGTGTACCTTTGAATTAGTGTATTTGTATTCTTTGGGTAAATACCCAGTGGTATGATTACTGGATCAAAAGGTAGTTCTATTTTTAACTTTTTGAGGAACCTCCATCTAGTTTTCTACAGTGGCTGCACCAGTTTGCATTCCCAACAGTGCATGAGGGTTCCTTTTTCTTCACATCTTTGTCAATACTTGCTGTTTCTTCTGTTTTTGATTTTAGCCATTCTGACAGGAGTGAGGTGATCTCTCATTGTGGTTTTGATTTGCATTTCCCTGATGATAACTTTCATGTGTCTGTTGGCCATCTGTATATCGTCTTTGGAGAAATGTCTGTTCATGTCTTCTGCCTTGGAATTTTTTGTTTTTTGGGTGTTGAGTTTATATATATATATACATACATATATATATATATATACATACATATATATATATATTTAAAGATTTTATTTATTTATTAGAGAGACAGAGAGAGAGATCACAAGCAGGGGCGGGGTAGGGTAGAGGGAGAAGCAGACACCCCGCTGAGCAGAGAGCCCGATCCCAGGACCCTGGGATCATAACCTGAGCCGAAGGCAGACACTTAACTGACTGAGCCACCCAGGTGCCCAGAGTTTTTATATATTTTGGATACTAATCCTTAATCAGAGATGTCATTTACAAATATCTCTTCCTGTTCTGTAGGTTGTCTTTTTGTTGATTGTTTCCCTTGCTCTGTGGAAGCTTTTTATTTTGATGTAGTCCCAACAGTTTATTTTTGCTTTTGTTTCCCTTGCCTCAGGAGACATATCTAGAAAAAAGTTGCTATGTCTGATATTGGAGAAATTACTACCTGTGTTCTCTTCTAGGGTTTTTATGGTTTCAGGTCTCACATTTAGGTCCTGGCTAGAATTTTCTTCACTTGTTTTTCTGCCTGTCCACTTCCCATTTACTCTTCAAAAACCAGTTCAAGATCATCTTCTTATGTTGTTGACTTGCTTTACCTTCCTTTCCAAGCATAATTCAGTGAGCTCACTTCTGTTACAACACTTGTTACATTCTGTTAGTTTATTAATTATGTTTCATCTCTGATCTGTGAGCAAGTTAGGAAAAGTTCAGATGTCTGATTATCTTGGTTTGGATTCTAGCTTTGTCACTTACTAGGTACATGCCTTTGGGCAAGTAACTTTTAAGTTTTCTATGCTTTAGTTCTATTGTCTGTAAAGTAGGTTAGTACTAATACCTTTCTTTTCTGTTATTGGGAGAACTAAATGTGATAGGCTTCTAATATTCTGAGATACCATTTTTCACATGCTAAACGATAAATGTTATTTATTTTTTATGGCTATTTCTTCCGCCTTTACTAGTGTCTGCAGAAAGAAGGCACTTGATGTTTTTTATTTCTTAAAGGGAAGTTTTTCCATACAGACTTATAGTTTGTCATTTCAGTTAACCCTTTATAATTTGTATACTTATCATAAGAGGCTTTGTTGTCTTAAAACAACTTCAGTTTTTACTGGCAGCTGGATTATTGTTTTATTTTTAAATATGCCGACGTTTTCCAACTTTCTTATGCCAAAATAAGTAATGAAGGAGCAAGGTAAGCACCCCAGAATCGGGTGTTATCTTTCTGAAGTGCGGTTACTGTACTTGGAGTTGTCTGACGGATCTGTTCTTTCTCTTCAGGCCTTGTGTAGAATCACCCGTCATTCTCCTACTGCCTTCCAGAATGTTATTGAGAAGGTGGGACTGAACTCCGTGATAAACTCCCTGGCCTCAGCCATCTGCAAAGTTCAGCAGTACATGTTGACCTTATTTACTGCAATGTTGTCTTGTGGGATTCATCTTCAGAGGCTAATCCAAGAAAAGGTTTGACTTAGATTTCACCTATTACTGTACTTTAAAAATTGTTGTTGAACCATTGCAATTGCAGGAGAAAACAAGTAATATTATCTCTGTAGAATTTATTTTTCTTCTCAGGGGACCTTTTTGAACTTTGCCAAACCCCTATACCACAAGCCATTCATCTGATGATGTTGTAAGAGTCTTTTAGTGATTAAAATAGAAATCCAGTAAATGGCTCTGCCTGCATGTCCCATTTTATTAATGAAAAGCTGGAAAATTTGAGTCCTTCCTATATGCTGATATTCTTATGCCTCTGGCTCTTCAGCCCCCATCTCTTTTCCCATATGCTTTGTCTCCCCTTTATATTCTCTGCTTACTTGGACTCCTTTCTTCCCCCTTTCCTTGTCCAATATTTGGCTAACACAAATCGCCTGGACAACTCCCTTTCTCCTGTTTTAGTTTCCTTCTAATCCTTTGATATTCCTTTATTTTATGTACAGTAGAGTTTTTAAATATTCAGTTCTGATCCCAAAACTGCACAGCTGTGAAGAAGTCTCTGTGGTAGCCTTCCTCAACGTGTCTTCTCCTCAACATGTCTGCCCGCTAAAGAGTGATCTGAGAACCAGAAGCAATGGGCATCACCTGGGAGAGGGTTGGAAAGGCAGCCCCTTGGGCCCCACCTTGGGCCTGCTGAATCTGAATCTACATTTTAATGAGATCTCTAGGTGGTTTGTTCGAACTTTATGATTTGAGAAGCCCTGTCCTAGAGTATTAGTGCTGAGTGAGGTGTTACCAGGTAGAAAAGGTGGACCATGTTTGTATATACATGTTTGGAAAGCTGTGAGTCAAAGTGAAAGGGATAGTTTTAACTGTGCGCCTTTCCCAGTGTTTTATATGCTCATGTGTATTTTGAATCTTCAGAAGGGTAATGTAGTGTGTGGCGTTCTTTAAACTTATTGGACCAATTATCCTTTTTTTAGAGGGGAGATGCCTCTCAAATTGGAGTTTTGAGAACTCGGTGAAGGTAATGCTCCTAACATGTGGAGAAAGGAACCACTTACATACACCACTTGCCTTGGTTCTTGTGTGTTGTCCACACATTAAATTCTGGTTTTTAAAATTTTAGTAATTACGAATAATTATCTGATTTACATGGTAAACTTGATCTGTCAGAGTCAAGATGGAAAGTAAACCACTTCTTGCCTTTACTCTGATTAGTCTGATTTAGATTCTGCTATGAAGTTTGAGCCTCAGAGAAACCTGTTTTTTCCCAACAGTCTGTGTATCTAATTTCTACTATTAAATTTTCCAAGTCATTAAATATTGTTACATTGTATTAGAAAAAGCCCCACTTGAGTAGTTTTCTGTGTAAATTGTGATAAGAGAGGCTGAGAGTTTTTTCAGTTTTGTTTTTTTTTTCCACTCTCAGAACAGGTATGGATTGACTTAGTTTCAAATACGGTATTTCACAAAGGTAGTAAAATAAGATGCATTGATTAATGTGATTTTGTAATTGTTTTATAATATATAATATTCCATGTATCTTAACCAAAGGGATGATTGAACACTGAAATGTATTGAATAAGTAATCTTTTGATTTTGATTAATACTGGTGCTAAAAAAAATTATCGTGGTAGAAAAGATATAATACAAAATTCACCATCTTCACCATTTTTAAGTTTATAGTTAGTAGTGGTAAGTATATTCACATTGTTGTGGAACAGATCCCTAGAACCTTTTCATCTTGCAAAGCGGAAACCCTGTGCCCACTAACCATTTAGGGGTGCTGTGTTCTAAGACTCTGGGCTTTATTTGAATCTGCTTTAGTAGGCCTCTGACATGGAACTGGCAGAGAAAGCGCGATGCCTGTGCCTGCCTTACTGGGATGGAAGTCCGTGTTCCTCGGTGGGCTTCTGTTGACACCCCAGGGGTGCAGAGAGCCCCTCTTTACTGCTGGGCAAGGGTGCGAGTCCACACTCTCCATAGGCTTCCTTTGATGTCCCCCTAGCTGGGAGTGGGGAGGGCTCCTCATTTACTGTCTCGCCTGCCACTATAGGGTGGGAGTGTGAGGACTCATTTCTGGGGGAAGGTGCTGAAGGTGCAGACTTCCCACTCGCCTTCTCTGCTGCCATCTTGGTGGGGAGCGAGAAAGGAATCTGGTTACTGCTATATATGGGTGGATACCCAGGCTCCCCACGTGGTCTGTACTGACACCAGGGTTGGGGCGAATGGCTGTTGTTGGGTGGGTGTTATTGTCAGCTCTCCACTTGTTCTTTTCTGGTATTGCCCTTGTGGGGAGAGTGTTGGCTATTGAGGGTAGGAGTTTAGGCTTCCCACTTGCCCTGGGCTGATGGGGATGGCGTCATGGTTTTTCCATGATGTTCGGCTAGAGTAGAGTAGCTACTGTTTGAAAGTTTTCAGTCTTTCTGGGCTGCCCCTTTCTTGGTCCTTTGGCTTGAGAGAGCTGATCTTTCTTATGTTTTGTGCCTATCGATGTTTCTAGGCTCCTGGATTATCCAGCACTCAATCCAGGATATCTGAGGCAAAAAATAAAACCCAGTCAGTTCATTGCCATGTTGATGCTCAGGTCCTGAGGTTCCTACTGGTTCTGTCTTCTCTCTACCTTTCAGAGTTGTCTTATGTTTGTTTATATCCAACTTCCAGGGTTTTTAGTTGTGCTTAGTGGGAAGAATAGGAAAAAGTGCATCTCCTCTCTCTTGTCCTTTAATTTTTAAAATGTTTCTGTGACAGGTCAATAATATGCAGTGAATTCTCTTAAAATGTAAGATTCTATTTTTTATTAAAAAGTATTACCATTTATTGAACATTTACTATGGGCCAGTTAGTGACTTGCAATCCTGGGGTATTCGTGGATGAAACTTAGTGTGTTGAGTAATTTTGTCAAGTTAATGGAGGATGTAAGTACTAGAGCTAATGCTCATGCCAGACAAATGAGGGAAGCAGAAAAATTTTGGATAATGTTGATGCTCTGAAGAACATAAAACAGTAATGTGATAGAGTGTCTGTAATAGCGTGCAAGGAATGCAGGTAATGATATTACCTGGGTGTGTGTGTGGTGGGGGGAGAAGTCAGGGAAGGCTTCTCTGAGGAGGTGTCATTCCATCTGAACCCTGAGTGACAAGAGGAAGTTTGCTCTATGAAGCCCTGGGGCCAGGGGTCGGGAGAGAACTTTATAGTTCAGCTTCCCTGAGGTGTGAGAGATCTTGGGAAGATCTGGAAAGAGAAAGAAGGCCCACAGAGCTGAACCTAGTGAGCAGGGGGTCGGGGAGAGGCCACTGGGAAGAGGCTGAGAACAGAGGGAGGCCTAGACCATGTAGGATCGGGGATATTGGCCTTCCTCACAGGTTTTATTTTTACTTAAAAGTGCATTTAAAAAAATAGACATGTGTATTTCAGGGGCAGGTTTAGCAACCTTCTTATTGCTAAGTTGAGCTGCTTTTCTGAGTGAGAGAGGAGAGGACCTAGGAACAACAAGTACCAGCTGTCCTCCTTCCTGTTGGACAGAAGAGCTGCATGTGTGCTTTTTGGGGAACCATGGACTGTATATCATGATTTTTTAAAAACTGAAAATGAGTCCCCGGAAGAGCTTCATGCTATTCCTTTTAAATAAAAGAAATTACCGTTTAGTGCCGAAAATTTAGAAGAAGCTAAAGAATAAGACAAAATCAGCTGTAATCTCACTGCCCAGAGATAATGACTATGACCATGTTGGTCTGTCTCTTTTTAGTCTTTTGTCTGTGTGTCTATGTATTTTATGCACACATTTATAAAATTAGGATCCAAATGCGTAGGTTTATCTTTTTTTTTTAAATTTATTAGCGAGAGTGCGAGTGCACTCATGCTCATGTGTGGGGGGAAGGGGAATGGGGGGAATGGGCAGAGTGGGGAGGGAGAAGGACAAGCAGACTCCATGCCCATTGAAGAGCCCAGTGCAGGGCTTGATCCCATGACCCTGAGATCATGACCTGAGCCGAAACCAAGAGTTAGATGCTCAACCCATCCGAGCCACCCAGGCACCCAAATGTGTAGATTTATCTTGATGGCACTTTGTCATTAAATATTCCCCAAGAACATTAAAAAGTATTATATAATTTTTCATTTTGTGGTACTACAGTAATTTAATTCTTTCTCCACTGTTGAACTGTTTGCTTTTTATTTTTTGATTTCCATTGACCCTGATGCAGTGAACATCCTGTTGGCATACATCTTTGTGTTCACCGCTAATGGATTACCACAGGTATTATCCGCATTTAGAAGGCTCTGCCTAGACAGTGCTAGACTATTCTCTAGAAAGGTAAATGATGAGAGTATACTGACTTGAAATTTAACCAGCAATCATTAGAGACATGCTATCTTTCTCTTATAATAAAACGTGGGGTTTGGGATTATTAGCAGCATACTGCATGTTTTCATAGTTATTTGCAGTTAGCAGTTAACCTGACTCTCCATTTGAACTATGTAAGTGTAGCCAGGTTTTCCTCTTAAACTAGACTAATGAGATTATTATTCCCTTCTGAATCATGCTCATGTCCTCGCGTGGGCAGTGAGGTATTAAAGGAAGTGGTTCAGCTTACTCTCTTACCTGTATGAGCTGCTTGCATGTCCGTGCCCTTAGCTGACCAGTATCCAGCACCCATGTGTATCAGTGATGTTTAATTTGTTTTGTATTGTCATCTTTAAAATGATCTTCTTTCCCATAAATGTACTAAATGGCAGAATATTCCTTTATCCAAAAACAAGTGTTAGTTCCATACACTGAGATGTGAAAAGTGAACGATCACAGCCACGATGACAGGGGACTCTCTGAGTCACAAATCATGTGTTCTTTTTTTTTTTTAATATTTTATGTATTTATTTATTTGAGAGAGAGAATGAGATAGAGCATGAGAGGGGGGAGGGTCAGAGGGAGAAGCGGACTCCCCGCCCAGCAGGGAGCCCGATGCGGGACTCGATCCCAGGACTCTAGGACCATGACCCGAGCCGAAGGCAGACGCTTAACCAAC